AGTGCTGTTTTACCTGGCAGAAATTATAATATGCGCATCATGGCACCGTAGCTAGCACCTGATTTCGATAAACCTGAAGTCTGCGCTCTAAAAAGCAGAGATGTGAGTACAGGCATAATGTTGTACCATCAGGTACTCCTGAGGCATCAGTGCGATTGACATATCTGGTAAGCCCTTGATATGCTGACAGCTCCTAAGTTTACAGAAAAATATATATTAACTTAGTAACAATTGACTCAAGAAGTAAGAAGATTGCAGCCAAGACAGCTTGCCATTGAATCTTTCACATGAAATCGATCTCCACATGTCATGAGATTCACTGTATTGTATTTGAATTTAGTCCATGCGAATGTTTAAAAACCATGCTTTTTAAAGTTATCGTAGTGCCCTCTGCTGCACTGTGAATAATATATATATTCCAGGTATAACACTAACAAAATTAAAAGAAACATTATCTATATGACAATTGTGGTAAATCAAATATAGGCAACAAAACATAAAAGTCAGTGTTTATGGGCTTCAAAAACATGTTGACACTAAACATTTCAACCAAATACTTGCCCCGTATTGTTTCAGTTCTTCCTGAAAAGAATAAGAGCTTTACAATTTAGTATACAAAAGTTGGTACTATTGAAACCCATTATGTAAACCATTTTACTATTTATAAGCTAGTAATCACTAAAGCACATACACTTGAGAGCGTGCAAAAAAGGGGTCCCTTTTGTGAATGTAAAAGCTTCTGCTGAAATAAATTGTAAGGTTTGTTTTCAGCTGCAGAAAGTAACTGATTCTATTTCAGTCACAATATTGAGGTATCAACTCTGTTTCCAAGTGAAAAAAATGAATTTATTCTATTTCATTACCAACATTAAGGTATCAACTCTGTTTCTTTTAAGCTGAGAGTTACATCAAAGATATTAGGTAGCTCTCACCCTGCAAACTTCAAATAAAACTGAAGAGAAAGAACACAACTTTTTAATGAAGCTTCACCTTAAAAGAATCAATTACCTTCATGATAAGGGCCCCACTATGGTTTAAACAATTTTCACTTTTCCAATCTTTGACCAGGAGTCTTTACCTGGAGATAACACCAGAAATATAATCTGCAGAAGCTTTATCAAACGCCAGTAGTTAGCAGTGTCTTCTTATTCCTTTTTTTCATCCGTGCTCTAAACTTTGCTGTAAATACTCAACGACAGGTAGCACCGCATTGTCACATTACTAGCAGCCATTGTCATTTTAATACAACTGTATTGGTTCATGAAATAATCATATCATTTTTTTCTGATTTGAAGTGATCCTTTTCATAATTGTGGTGTTTTTGTCACTTCTAAATCTATCGCACAGGTAATGTGTTCTTGCCTGTATGGGTATCGCTTACCAGTGTTGCATAGGCGCACTATTGGAACTGTGAGAAGATAGCTGCATGTGGCTAAATGCACCCTAGTACAGTTTGGATCTCTTGTTTACTTATGTAGGCTAGTACTGGATAGCAAACTATTAAAGTAAGCACGGACGAAATTGATATGTTGTCTAAATGTTCGTCATGGCTGTGCTGCTATTACTCACCACTAGGACTCATTGCTTCATGATATAAAGACGGAAAAAAAGGTTTTTATCTCTTAAAATGAAACACGATTTGATGACTTTTTCTAACAGTAACCAATGAAGCCTATTACTAAATGTGGTATTTACCATAGTTTGTTACTAGGACCACCTCAATGCTAAATGTACAACCAAACATGTACAAAAACTCACAAATTACTAACCTTTTCACCAGCTATAAAATTGTTTCGCACTCTACACATATCGAATTACTCTTTGCCTACAAAAAGAAAACTCTAATAATCAGCTAATATGAACTATCATATTCCACATATTTCACTATATGTTATCTCGCCATGAAAGAAATCCGCAATATGGACCTTAATCTTCATGTACTGAAAATTTTGCGATTGTTTTACACAGAAAATTTTGTACTAACTAAAATAGAGATTAAGAGATTTAAAAAATATTTCCTGGGGTTTTGCGTCTAAAAACCAGGATATCTTCACGGCTGGCATCGAACACGTGGGCTTCGGGTCAGCAGCCGGCCACCGTAACCACTATACCACCGTGGCAGACGAACCAGAGATTCTTTTTATTATTTTTTAAAATGAGTGTTACGACTCGTGGTTTCTAGCTTTCGGGAGGACTTCACATGCTGTTTTAGATTTCTTGAGTTAAAAGTTCTATCTGGCTATTCGCACATTGTGTCTACCTGCCGCCAGCCTCTTTTTATTAGACAAAGCGGATGTGATGAACTTCGGCCTCACGTGGAGAACACGCCGGCCGGTTGCAGCGCGCCAAGATTTCATAGTAGATATCGTCTCGTCCAAGGAGGATTAAAAAGAAATGCTGGAGTGGAAATGATTGCGTACAAGTGAAGCCGTTCCTCTGGCAAGATGGCAGCTGTGGCGGCCATCTTGCTAGGGGCATGAAAAAAGTATCGCTGTTCCGCGATTAAAACGAAGCGTTTCCCTCGCACGCCCAACGAGTTTAATGTGGGAACATTTTCGGGCCACATAGTGCTCCAAGTGCGTCTTAAAGTTACTTGTTTTCCGTAGACAGCCTCTAATTGGAGGCAAAGTTCTTTGAAGATTCAGTCATCCATACTTGTTTCTGCGTGTTATTTCGTCAAGAACAACTATGCTTTAACTTAGAACTAACGTAGCATTTACATAACGTATCAAAGCCACTTGATCTTTATGTGGGCACTATCAGAAAAGAGCATGTTTCCGCCATCTTGGCAGTGGCAATAGGTGGCTTCACTTCTGCTGTCAAGACATCGCAGGAGCTTCCACTCCAGCAATTTTTCTTTAATTCTCCTTGGTCTCGTCTTACGGCGCAGCGGCGCGTGCCAGCACCGTAAACAGAGGCTCACCTAAACCCGCCAGCATAAATGAAGGCGCACACATTACACGGCTGCACTAGGGTGCTGACAAGCCCGAACACTGTCGGCATAGAGTAATGCAGCTGCTGTGGACAAGTAATCAGAGTGCAATGAAAATGTCACTCTCGAAATGGCAAACACGACCAACATAATCAATCTGCGATTTCCGTAAACGCTGTATTTTCTGCTATCAGTACGCACTCCGTCTCAGAAAAAGCATGCATGATACAAGCCACGTGAAAACGACCACGAAAAATGAGCACTGCGTTTATGGCCTCGATTTTATTCGAAGCGGCCTATTCTGAGATATTGTGTAGGTACTACATAACACAGATCATTAGTGGCACGAGCTGTAACCCAAATCGCGAGTAAATTAAATGCTAGGCACTGTTGCAAAGCGCGCTTCCGACGACGTTACGATTGCCGCCACGAATCTCACCGCTGCAACCACTGTTTCGATAGACGGCGACGCCAACACGGTCCCGAAGGCGCCACTGCTTCGAACTCCGCCGGGAATGTCACCAGCCGTTTGTAGCGTAGGTTTCTCAGCTCGCGGCTGCTTCTGCGCAGAGCTAATAGACGAGCGGACGAGACGACGGTGAGTTAAACAAGGTTTATTTATTTATTTATTTATTTATTTATTTGCAATACTGTCGACTCCAATGTTGGAGTCATTGCAGAGGGCACATTGCAGGTAGTATACATTCAAGAAGAACAAACAATAACATTCCAACTGATATACATAAGCCCCACCCAGTACCTTCTGGCCTGCTACAGTGCGCCGTGCAAAAAAGAAAAAGAAAAGAGGAAAATAGCAAAGGTATGTGAAGCATTGAAGCACTACTGTAGATTACGCATGGTTTCTAACACTGCGGTGAATGTGGATAGTGTGTCGGCATTAGTAGCATTTGCATTCAGTTTGTTCCATTCGCGTATTGTTAGTGGGAAAAACGATTTTCCAAAGACGTCACTGTTTGAGGAATATTCTTGCAGACTGTATTTGTGCTTTTGACGAGTAGGGCGTGACTGTGAAAATGTGACGTACTTAGACACATCTACCTTCTAGTGGCCATGTAACAACTGGTACAAGAACCTCAGGCGTGCCTCTTTTGCCCTAGTAGCTAGTTTTTCAATGCCAGAAGAAGCCAGAAGGTTAGTGGGAGAATCTGTACGTTTGAACTTGTTGTGTACAAACCGTATGACTTTGCGTTGTACTGCCTCTAATTTACTAATACCACTTCGCGTATAAGGAAACCAAAGTACGTTGGCATATTCTAATACTGGTCTTACGAACATGGTATAAGCCAAGAGTTTTGCGGGCGCTGGTGCAATTCTAAGTCGTCTTTTTAGGTAGAAAAGTTTACGCAGTGCGGCCGAAGGGACGTTAGCTATGTGTGTATCCCATCTCAGGTCAGACGTTAATGTAATGCCTAAGTACTTATGCTGCACAACATTAGTCAGTGGTGAACCATGAAATGTGTAGATGAATTGCGATGGATTCTGTTTACGTGTTACCGTCATAACTGCGGATTTTTTCACATTGGTGGACATTTGCCACTTAGCAGTACAGCATATATGTACAGCATATACACATATACAACATATGTACAGCATATATACAGAGGCGTTACTATTTCGGCACTGGGACCGACAGCTTAGAGACCCGAAGTGCTGAGCTCTCCTCTCTAACACATAGGTCTACTGCTCGCGACGCGCCGCAGGGCTTCTTTTATATGCACCGGGTGGATTCTTTGAGTAACTAAATGTCCAACCAGAAGCGCCGCTGCTCGTGAGGTCAGAATCCTCTAATGGGGTCGCCGCTGGGCCGCGTCATCGAATCTGAAGCCGTTGCGCTGCACGTGGCTGCACCCAAGGACGAGTGACGTCACCACGCTTTGCGTCAGACTCGCCAGACAGGAAGGCGCCGATTGCTTGCTCGACGGGCTCTCTGGCTGAGGTGACTCACTGTGCGTGTGCGGCAGAGAGGCAATGCCACGTGATGACGCCGTTGAGTTGTTCGCGTCAGGCGGGCTCGCGGGCTGGCCTTGACACGGATTGCCTTTTTCAGAGGCATGGACGTTCGCCATGGACTCGCAGGCATAACAGCACTCACCTCCAAGATGCAGACCAGACAAAAAGGCAGTGCCAGCCGGGTCCCGTTCCGTGTGTGCGTCCTGGCCTTTGAGGAGGGTAGTCGGGCTATGACTATACAGTGGTGACTGCCAACGGGTGAGTGACAATAGCGCTGCGCCCGTCGCGGTCGAATGGTTCTCTTTCCGTGATGCCCGCCTAAACCACCGTTGGGGAACAAATATAGTTTCGTAGAATAAAAGCGGTGCAGATGACGTCGCGCTGATGGATGCAATGATGGTATGTGACGGCCATATTAGTATAAATTTCTGGAGGTCATCCGTATTGCAAATGATTACTTTCGTCTAATTTTTTGTTGACGGTGAAGACACTTGTTTTTTTGCACTATTCAGTGAAAGAACAATGGTAAACGTGTGCTGTATTCATGATATTCGCGAAGTGTTGAAGTCTGTGATCCTTGAATGTGGGCTGTATTCTTAATGTTGGCGAAGGGGTGGGTGGGTATATTTCCTCGACACAATGTCCGCTTTTCTGCCCGTAAATACACGCCATTTTTCGCAGTGCACCACGACTGCATGTAAGGCTCAGCGCAAACCGTGTCTGCAGTGTTTCAGGAGCTTTTGGGCTGAAAATAAAGCATTTTTAAGAACTGCGCGCATGACGTGAACACAAGCTTATTCTACAACTTAGTCGACCACCAGTCTGGAAAGTTGACGCGTAAGGTATGTAAGAGAGCCCGTGTCAGTCATGGTCCACTAATTGGCGGCTGACACTTTATTCGCTGCTATCAGTACCAGTGTGTATTGCTGTAATCTGTTTTCTCGTTTACACGCCACAACTTCAGTGAAATGAGAAGTTTCATCTTGGACAAACAGTCCCCTGCGCTCGTCAACATCACGACCACGTGGCAATAACTTTTGTTGTAACGTGCGAGCTCATCACCCACACTCACTTTCATCGAATGTCATGCTGCAACATCTGAAAACTTCGAGATTGTTTGAGGCGGTTGTGCTAAGAGCGCGCGCAGGACATGAGTAAGCGACTTTATTCTAAAATATTTCGTTGAATGGCAACTTGGTATTGATATCATCTTGTGCTCGTGACGTGCACGAAGGTAGCAATATATATTAAGTATTTTCAGCGCCAGTAAACGTGGACATTAGACGACGCAGACTTGCGCTTACTTCCACCTGATATATATTGAAAATCACAAAGCCAGTTTTTATACATGCGCTCATGTTATCACTCACTCGAACACGCAATCATATGGGATCGAACAAAACAGAATTTATTAGTCATTTGCACTGTTGGAGCACTTACACGGCAGAAGCCTGACTTCCTGATATGAGCAGCCCCTATTACATTTGAAAGTCCTTTCAGCGTGCTAACATCGGAAAAAAGGGACAGGATAAACAGAAAGAGCGCTGACTGCCAGCTAACTTCATTGCGCAGAATGGCAAAATATCTGCGTCGAAAAGAACAATATAAAACAGGAATATGAAAGACAAGCTTAATCAATGCGTCAGTATTAAAACACTTGTGATGGGTTCTTGATAGCATGCCTTAAAGCCCAGCCAGGTAATCACGTTCTAACTGTGATATAGCACGCGATGGGAGCTTACGCAGTTTTCACCTAGCAATTGCATTTTCTCCGCTTCAATATTTACGCAGGTAAGCTTTTTCACCTTGCCAATATGGAGCACTGATAGAAGAGGGAGTGGAACTACGATCCCGGCAATGGATGCTAAGGTGCCCTTGTACCACATCGTGCATGTTATTTAGGTGTTTTCAGAGGCGGTCATTTGTGAACCTGCTGGTTCATTGGACGTAGGTGTTCCAACACGTCAGTGGAATTAAGTAGACGACTTTCACTGCGCATGGGACGTAGCGTGATCTGTGCGTTACCGAGCGAGGGGCAGAGTTTGTGCGTGGTGTGCTAACCCACTTGCAAAGTCTCCGCAATTTATTCTGTGCAGTAAAAACCAACTGAACGCTGCGCGTCATTCTTCAATTGTGGTTGCGCGTCATTCTTCAATATGGGCTCTATATTGACGAGGCATAAGAATCAGGTCACCCACTAAATTATTGAAGCGCAAAAAGACACTTGCTAGGTGAAAACTGCATAAGCTCCCCATTTGTTGCTTCATTGCAGACCGTGATTACCTGGCTCAGCTTTAAGGCAATCGAGGACCCGTCACACGTGTTTTATACTGACCCTTTTATCAGGCTTGTCCTTTATCTTCCTGTTCTGTATTGTCCTTTTCGACGTATATGTTTTGCCACTCTACAAAATAGAGTGAATTAGCAGTCAGTGCTCTTTCTGTCAACCCTGTCTCTTTTTTCCTACATTCGCGCGCTGAAAAAAAAAAACTTTCAAATATGACTACGCATCAACTAGCCCAAGCTTCCATTCCTGCGCACCTCTGTTATTTACTTTTTATAGCAGTTTTTCTTTTTACATGCATGGTCAATAAAGGGGAAATCTAGCTAAACCTAATGCAATCTAACTTAGCTTATATATAAAGAAAGACACAACTTCTTCGTAATGCCAGATTACGATCTTCTGAGAATGAGGTGAGAAGTTGTGAAGAATAAGATCACCTGTGGTCTTGGTTTTTTTTTCTTCCTTTCTTTGTCTGCTTCACGTTACCTAGGGTCCTGTAGGACTGACTCGCACGCGGCAGTGACTGCCGAAAATGGAAAACCTGCAGTGCCTAATCGTTGCAATTCAGGCTTTTTGAGGAGGCATGACGAAAGTTTTTGTTTTGCTAATGTGGTTTTTGCACAAAACAACGCGATCGCCCTTTTTAAAAGTTCTGCGTGTCCACCGTAGTAAAGAGAAATATTTTTCTTGATCCCGTGGTTTCACATATAGCGAACATGGCCATCATAGAAGGTAGCAGCTCTACAATTAGCATTCTGCTGGTAATTATTCTTTCATAGCTAAGCCATCTCAATGCATAATGCAGTCCACCCGATTCAATGCAAAATGCTTGTGATTATCCTAATGAAATTTTTATAATCACTATTGTCCAAATAAAACTATTCCGTGGTCTTCTACATATCTAAAAAACTGATAACTTCTGAGCAAGCAACGCGACAGTTCACAAGCTTGTCATATGAAGCCACGAACATGTCACACAGTATCGGTGCCACTGATGACCCTTTACCAACGTCGCTTTTTTGCAGGTGCTGTTGTCTTTTAAAAATAATGCTAGTTCGGCTCAAGGTAAAAGTTTAGAAGTTTTTATAAAGTTTACGCTGTTTAGGCCGCAAGAGTTCTGGAAGTTCACCTCTCCATATTAAGTCCCCGCGCCAGCTAAGGATAATAACAAAGTGTACCATTGGTTTCTTCGCAAATCGTCCCACTTACACACTTTTAAAGCAGCATGTCTACGCTTTGAATTGTTACTTGTGAACTGCCACGGGTAACAAACTGCATTTGCTAGACTTAACTTTATCTTTTGTTTGTGACCACACGTGTTACATTTTTGCGCAAAGATTGGAAAAACCTATATAAAATTTCAAATCTTTCCATACAAAACTGGTTAAGAACAGCATTGCTCTTCCCTTTTTCAAGCCAGCAATTTCGAAGACATGCTGTCACTTTACGAGACAGTCTTGAAGGCCAGGCTGCCTGATTGATACAAGCAGGTTTCCCGTCTTCCTCACTGACTGCAACTAGCGAGAAAGCGCTTGAATATTTTCGGTCACTGAATGAATCGACGAAAAGTTATGAACAAGAGAACGTGAAAAGTGCAGTTATTCTTTATCTAAATAGCAGCTCCAATCGCCTAAAGATGATTGGCCTAAAATGCAATGTAAACATTGTATGCTTTGCAAAAAGAAAACGTAGCCGTATCTGCCCTGCGGTCGAGCGTATGCACAACAAAGTAAGAGATATCTCTGTTATGAGATGTTACTTGTGCCATAGCATTATTTTTAAACCCGATAGTCTTTCTTGGGGACTTTCAACGCAAAAATATATGGTCTGTATTTCTGTACATTTGTATGTTTGCATTCTCTTAACAGCATCGGGTACTTGAAACGGCCGACCCCTCCGCAGCGCCCACCTATGTTGCTCAAGGTTGAGCGTTCGTGCTTGTGCAATTGTCAATTAAAAAGCAATTATTGCGCATGTCTGGGGCACCATAACAACATGTATATATTCTTTGACCACAAAGACGACCTCGATAAAAACAAGTCATGCGCAAAGCATGGTCACCATCACAGTGATTGTGTGGTGCACATAGTTTACAAGCTACTGTGCACATAGTTTACAAGCTACTGTGCACATAGTTTACAAGCTACTTCTGTACTGCGGTAACAAGCACATTGACCATATGCACCGATGCTTGAATGCATCGGCACGTGAGCATTTCGTGAAGGCTCAGCACGTCAGTATTTATGAGCGTTTTATGAGCATATTATGAGCATTTTGATCATTTTATGAGCATTGATGAGCAGCACATGAGCATTTTATACGTGCTGCTCAGCACGTGAGCAGCACGGGAGCATTTTATGAATGTCAGGAAAAATGCACGACCATCCTGCAGATCTCGATTGATTCATTGATTGATCGATTTGTGGGGTTCATCATCCCAACACCACCATATGAATATAAGAGATGCCGTAGTGGAGGGCTCCGTAAGTTTCGACCATCTAGGGTTCTTTAACGTGCACCCAAATTGGGACACACGAGCCTGCAACATTTCCGTTTCCATCAGAAATGCAGTCACCCCAGCCGGGATTTGATCTCCCGACCTGCGGGTAAGCAGCTCAGTGCCTTAGCCACTAGACCACCGCAGCGGGGCTTCTTGCGGATCTCTGCAACGAATGTAATCGCACACCACAATTTGATCGTGCTACCTTTATGAAGCGCGCAAAAAAAACAAAGAAAAATAATAGAGGCCACTCATTTCAGCAAAGCATGTTTCAACTACGTAAGTGCTTCCAGTGTGTGCACAACTGACCAAAACTGCAGTTTTTATTTGGTCACCTGTGATTGCGTTTTCAGCTGTTTGATAACATGCACGCGTGTTGCTTTGTGGTCTTCAATAAATATATTTTCGAAGTCTGCGCAAGTCTCTGTTTGCATCTTTTATGGCCCACATTTAGTAGCACTTCGGATACTAGGT